AAAACGCATGATCGCACCGGCTCGCCTGGTGCGTTCCAGCCTGGGTTTTAAGTAAAAGCAGAGTTGTGAGAACAGTATTATCCCACTACCTCTAGTTATACGAAATACAATGTCTCTAAAGCGCAGATAAAAAAATTTGGAATACCAACTGGAAGCAAACAAGAAGCGGCGAGGGTCGAATGTTGGAAGCAAATAAGAAGCGTCAAGCACACTGGAGAAGTATAAAGGCTAAACACAGCCTTGTGAGCTTACAGTACTGGTTAAACAAGTGCAATTTGAATGCTTCTGCCAATAATGCTATCGCCAAGATTGCAGGAAATATGTTTTGTAAGATTGTTGAAAAATTACATATGCTAATAGACTGGTAAATTTGCAGTCTGCGTTTCATCCCTTAGCTGTAAATACGGAACGAAACTAAAGCCTGTTTCCTAAATGTATAAATAAAATGTCACGATGTTTATAAGAAGACTTTGGACTATCCTTTCACAATAAATCACGTTGATTTTCCTGATATTGAAGTTCACGAAGAGTAATCATTTTCAAAAAAAAAAACTTTTTTTTTATTATTCGCAGAAAAAAATTCTCAAAAAATTCAAAACTTTTATTTCAAAAAATTTTTATTAAAACCTTTATTTAATAAAAAAATTTTTATTTTCCGCAGAAATTCTGAGGAAGTTATCGCGGCACAGACCTCATTAAACAATTTCCCTGCGCTACGCGATCCTTGCCTCCCATCACAATCGCAATTTTCAAACCAATTGGAGTTCCGAGCGGTGCAAATTGATCAGCGATTTGTATTGCAAGCTCCCGTGCTGGAGTGAGCACTAGTGCACAAATGTCGTGCGGATCGATTGTCAACTGTAGAACAAAAAGTAATAATTTTTTAAATGACTGATATCAAAGTAATAATTTAAATGGTATCACTGGCGAAACATGAAGGAGAGGGGCCTTTCGCCCTTCCCCACCCCCTCCTTCTCCTCCCAAGGAGTTAGGTAGCAGTTATTTTAGTGTACAAAAGCCTGCTTGATACTCCTTGCCGTCCCCATCCCCGCCCCCGGGACTATTCGAGGGGGAGGGGTGTAATGGGATGACCGGGGAGGAGGGTAGTAAAGAAGAAGAAGGTGGGGTGAAAAATCACCCTCTCCCCTGTCTAATCCCCCCCC